TTTCTTTTTTTTTAGAAAATTACTAGGTCTTTTTTTTTTTAAGATGGCCATTAGTTTTAGTCTTTCCACAGATTTGTTAGCCATTTCAAAAGTACAATAAACCCACCTGTAATATTTTGCTGTAACTGACCATAATTATGAGTCCTGGGAGAAGGAAGCACAGGGTGGCAAAAGCAGTGCTCCACACAATCGGTCCAGTTCCGTCAGGCCATTTGAGAGTACAGATACGAACATGTTCCTGTATGGGAAAAACAACAGTATACAGAAAAACATGCAATAATGTCAGGGACAGGGAATTGAGTTTTTCTGTCATCCACCGATTTATCCATACCTGCTCAGGGTAATCCACTTCCATCACAGTGAAATACAGACTGAGGGGTATGGGGGTGACTGCAGAAAAGGCCCAGATAAAGAGAAGGGTGGCAGTCACTGTCCTGTGATTCAGAGTTGCCATGGTCTGGAGCTGCAGGATAGCCCGGATCCTCTCCACACTGATGGAGGCCAGGGTAGTGATGGTGACGCAGCCTGACACACAGATTACATACACCACAATATGGCAGGCCGCACACCCCAGAGTCCAGGACACAGTCCAACGCACTGCTACAATCAGTGGGATCATGCTAACAAACAACAGGTCAGCCACAAACAAGTTAAGGGTCAGGATGGTCTTGTTGACCAGCAGTTTGCGTTCCGAGGTTTCCAGGGCTGCAGCTCCCACATTTGCTGCCACAGAGACCAGAAAGACAGAAGAGATAGCCAGGGTCTCGACAGTAGTGGTGGCAACATGATCAGAGTGGTACAGCTCAGAGAAGAAAGAAAAATATGTGAAGTTCCTTATGTGAAGGAAGTGAATGTGAGAGTAAATATCCATATAGCGTGAAAAGGTATTTGGATCCAGGATACTAACTGATTTTACTGTGGTGACTGCCAGTAAAATGGGAGCTGATAAGGCATAAAATAATACCAGAGAATGGAGGGAGGGGGAGGGATGGGGGCGGTGAATAGCATTTTTGATACTGTTTGTTCCAGCTGCTACCTGAAGAGAAATCAAATATTACATAATGTTCTTTGTGCATTTGTCTTCCACTGTTTAGTCAAACATAATTTTATTATGTGCTGCTGCAATGTTACATTTCTTTAGCAAAACTCTTTGTCATAGCCCATTTTTGCACTTTTGCACAATATCAGTTAAACTTGCAGTTTGTTGTTGACTGGGACTGACTTGACTTTCAGTGCTCTTCTTGAACAGTAACACTGTGTAAATGGCAAAATTAGTTAGACACTACTTTTATTTACCCTGTTCGTAAGAGCACCAGGTTTAATTCCTGAGTAGTTACACAGTAACTGATTAGAGATTGTTCACACTGGGAAATGCATAAGTGTACATATTAAATGAATCACGGCTGATTTTCGTTTAGTCTCATTGGTTTCAGGGTCCTGGTGTTGTGTCTTAAGATAGGCTAAGCTAAGGCTAAGGGATTGATTCGCACAAGTTGGTTTGCAGTATTCGTCTGGTTTGAACAGTGTGAGACCTAAAAGGGTACAAGGACCTACAGCAGTGTGCTTTGACAAAGTATCACACAAAATCATTAGTTTATTCTTAAAAAAACAAGATAAAGAATCTACAGCCATGCTAACAGCTCTGCTGGACTGTACTGTACAACACAGCAGTGCTTTGAGCTGCATGCAAACATAAGCATGCTCACAGTTACAATGCTAATATGCTGTTTAGCAGGTAATATTTGCCATTCTCAGATCAGCCTGTTAGGATGCTATCATTTGCTAACTGGCACTATGTGCAAGGTACAGCTGAGCTGAATGTTATAGAAATGTCATAGGCCTAAGTATTATGCATATTAAAATTGTCACAGCAATCCATACCATCCAAACCATAAATATATGAAAACATTTTCTTGGCCATCTGTCCAACAGGAGATATTTCAGCCTGGACCAAAGTAGCAGACCGACCAACAGACAGACAGACAATGCCATGCCTGGTGCTGCACCACTAGTGTGGCTAAATATCTGCTATCTTCTGACAGCGTACGGAAGCTAACCAAATCTTAGAACACCCAAGAATCACAACCATAACAACTGAACACTGAAGTTTCTTAAGATAACTTGTACATCTGGTTAAACAGTATGGAGCAAATCAAATCCACAGTACAGAAGATACAGAACTAATGAGATCTGAGCTCCAGCTCATTCGAGACAGATTTCGAGGTGGTTGATAAGTTCTCTGTAGTGATTGGCAGGATACTTGGTCTGGCAGCTGGGACACTCCAGGAAGCTTTCATTCAGCAAGCTGCTGCAAGGGGAGGATGTCAATCTGATTCTGGAAGGCTGGGAGGGTGGGTGTGTCACTTGATATGAGTCACGGTCCTGCTGATCTCTCTAATACAGGATAAACAGTCAGAATCAATTAATAAGACCCTGGCTGATTATGTCAAGATGATCATCATTCTTAACCAAAAAAACTTTAAGCTGCACTAATAAATATTTTTAGATTAACAGACCATCAAATGAATGAAACATGTTACTCACAGAGAATTATCAGCTCACTCTGCATTCCCCCTTAGAGACATTTAGTCTATTTTGGAGCATTATTTTGGTCTAACCTTAAGCCACAACTCTGCTCTGGTTTCAAGTGAAAACAAAGCTCTTAAAATCTGTACTCTATCTTAAATGAGGAGACAAACAAAGTTTGAAAGTTAACAAAGGGAAGAAGCATTTAGCAGCTTAAGAGTCAGATATTTCCCTCAGGAGTTAGTTAAGACCAGAACAGATCTAATCATCAGGATAGGTGGATATCAGTGCTTTATTTCAATCTTATTTTGCTGTCCCCAAGTGACCACAAAAACTTTGTTAATGCAGCTTTAAGTTTCATCATTGATACTAATTACATATCCAGTTTTCTTGCCAACCTTTGGCTGTGCTGTCACATCTGTAGTTTTTTGCTGTGTCTTCAGGACTTTGGTCATTTGCTTCGATAAATATGAACAAGCCTGCCTCTCATCCTCAAGGTCTTGTGAAGCAATCTTGACCTAAAATTTAAAAAAAGTTACCATTGCAACGAACGCTATAATATTTTATAGGTGTGGGCAGATTATTTGTCAAATACAAATAAAAACAATGATCTCCTTTGTTCAAGTAAGGACTGATAGTTTTCCTTGAAAGGAAATGCAAAGACGTAATAAAGCAATGCATGAAACACACAGAAAGACTGTCAAACACAAACCATCAATCTTTCTCTATTTGCCATTACTAAGAGGGGGTAGATTGGCAACATCTTTCGATTTCTAGTTAATATTAAGAATTTGTTCAAACATGATAAAGAGAACAAGAGTTAGTGTGCCTGACATACCTGACGTTCCAGCTTGGCAATCTTCTCCTGATCTTCATGGTGAAGATTCATCATAAACTTCTGAAAGAGATTTGCCTGAGAAGGGAGAATTTTTTTTTTTTTTTTTTTAAGCTGTGGCCTTTTACCCAAAAAGAACAATTTTGACTGCTACTTAGTGAATGAATTGTTCAACGAAGACACACCTGCAGCTCAAAGTTAGCGGACTTGCGTTTCACCTCATCAAGTCTGCACTTCAGATCAATGGTTTCAGCCCTCAGGCGCTGATGTTCATCCTCAGAGCAATGATGATCTTCAGGTGCACTTGTTCTGTTCATTTTTTCAATCTGCAGCTGCTGTTTGAGCTCCTTCACCTCCAGCTCCCTTTCCTTGCACCTACACATCAATCTGTCATGTAGATGACTACCACCAAAGCTTTAAAAGGACCATACAACAGACATTACCGGTTTTCAATCATTATCAGGTTCTGCTGGGTCAGGTCAAGTCGCTCCTTGAGTATGTCCTTCGTGTCTTTGGTATTCTGTAAGAGTCCTTCATAGTGTACCTGCATCTCACGCATTTGCTTCTTCTCTGTAATGAGAGAAGTGGACATTGGGTGTAAAGAAAAATTACACAGTCACATTCAGCCTTATATATGCACCATGTAGAAATAAATTGCATGATTTATGCAGGCCACATATTCTGTCATAGCAGGCTACTCCAGGGCAATCTCAATATCTTAAAAACCTTGTTGTGACAGTCTGTTGCCCCTTATTGCACTAGTGCCGCCCACTGTCTTTCTGACTCACCATCTAAATGGTCTTCATTGTCTTGCTGTGAGCAGGCCTGTTTGGCCTCGTTCAGCTGCTTCTCCAGCCATAACATTCTGGCCAGAATTCCCCTCACACAGGCCTCTCTCTGCTGGTCATACTCCAGCCGCGGCTTGTTCTTCTCCAAGGCCTTGGGGGACTGAATAAAACAATAAGCAGCACATTACAGAGAAAGCCAGAAAGAGATTGGCACCAGAATGATAACTCCAAACCCAATATATACTGTATAGAGAGGCTCATGCCCTGACTTAGAAAGAAATGGCCATGTGCAAACTAGAGACCACTTTCATCTGTGTAGTAACAACAAAGTGCTTACATCACAGGGATGATTTTGAAGCTCTGTTACTCCGGGGGTGGAGGCCTGTTCATCTGATACTGAGTCCTAATACACAAGAGGAAGATATCATTACACAGGACGCTGTAATGGTTTACCTGGAAGTGACAAATATCGCAAATAGTAAAAAACAAAACAAAACAAACTAAAAAATCTGTTATGATTTCTGTAACTAAACATATATTGTGCATTGTGTCGCTTGCTTATAAAGATGTACAGTTTGATTTCATATCCCACAGTGTAGCAATAACTTATAAAAAAAAGTGAGTGCTATACCTTCTTCCTTGCAACTTTGTTCTCAAGACACTGACATCTGGTTGAGACAGTCACAAGCATGTTCTTGATTTCTTCAAACTCTCTGGCATAACTGGACATTGTCCTCATATCCCCTACATCCACCGAATTCCCATCTCTCTTACTCAGCTCCTCTGATGGTAAAGGATTCGTCTCAGGTTTGGCCATCAGCTGCTCAGAACTCTCCAGCCTGATGGATCCAAAAGAGAGAAATCTCTGCGAACAGACACGGAGGGAAAAGTGGTTTCACCAATGCCTAGCTACTGGAAAGCACTACCCTTTTTTACCCATTTTGGACGCAGCTCTCATTGCCAACATCGTTAACATTAGATGGAGTTTAACACACAGTGTGACTTCCCTTGGCTACACAACATAGATCAGTTGACTGAGTAGGTTGACTAGGTTTACCTCTACTAGTTTGTAATATTCTGAATGCTGACGGGACAACTCAACCAGGGTCTTCTTCAGATAGACATTCTCCTTCCTCAGACTGCTGACAACCATAGCAAGCTTTGATTTCACCATGTTCCGGTGGAAACCCTTATATCTGGAGGATGCCATCTCTTTAACCTGGTCACAAACATTAACACAAAAATACTTTGGCTTAGACTATGGCAGAATAATGTTACAATCTGAAACATAAACATTCTGGGTCCACGTTTACTGATGCCATAGATACTGGTGGTTGTTCTAATAGCATTTTGATAAAAGATGTCTATCTGAACCAAATATGAGAAACACTATAATGCTGATGATGGCCAATATAAAGTTGACTAAAAGCCATAAAGCAGCCTTAGAAAGCAACTGTTGTATTATGCCCCAATATGTAAGCAAAAAAAACAACAACAAAACTTTTCCTTGACAGCAGGAAAAACTCCACCTCTAATGAAGATCATGTGATATAATAAAAAGTTTCAACCTAAAAACAAGAAAACTAATAATGTTACTAAATGAACTTGTTTAGGCAACAACAAATGATATTTATTTTTAAGTTTTTAAATTACTCAGTTCAATACATTTTCTGTCTGTCACCTATTGTTAAAGCTAATAACTGAGGGTAGCTAACTAGTGTAATGTTAAATAGCTAAATTAATACACATTCACCTGCTCAGTTAACAATAGTTACTGTCAGATCAAGTTATGGTTTAGACCCAATCTGGATACTGGATGCTTGATGTTATCAGATAATAACACTAGTTACATTATTATATCTGCTATACTCAGAAGCTTTTTTAATTCGGTAAGTTCCACAAAGATAACACCATATATACAGTAGTAGTATGCTTAGCTGGCCTCTTGTTTGTTCATGTGGATGAAGAGAAAACTGCCACTAACAAAGAAACTGCTGCCATCTAGTGGTGTAAAACCAGCAAGATCTCAGAGGGGATTGGTACACAGCAGCACAATCACAAGCCTTTTTTACTTTTCACATTTTGTGATGTCACACTGCGGAAAGCATAGGTTTAATTATTAAAATGAATCCTGTCTGGGTTTCAATTACTCACATTGGTTTCATGGTATTGCTGTTGTTAATGATGGCTCACTGTCACACTGTCATGACTTATTTAAACATATGAATAGAATGGAGCCATCATTAAATAGGAGCAGGTGTGCTTGTCAGAGTGTCTGCTGTGAATATAGCCTGTTATGTGCTACCGCTCTGCACCTCAGGCTGGACAAAACCTCAGTATTTACTAAGATTCTAATCCTGTAATGATTTACCTGGAAGTGCCAAATTTTGCAAATTAAAAAAGTTATGATTTCTGTAACTAAACATATATTGTGCATTGTGTCGCTTGCTTATAAAGATGTACAGTTTGATTTCATATCCCACAGTGTAGCAACAACTTGTAAAAAAAGTGAGTGCTATACCTTCTTCCTTGCAGCTTTGCTCTGGGGATACTGACATCTGGTTGAGACAGCCACAAGCATGTTCTTGATTTCTTCAATCTCTCTGGCATAACTGGACATTGTCCTCATATCCCCTACATCCACCGAATTCCCATCTCTCTTACTCAGCTCCTCTGATGGTAAAGGATTCGTCTCATGTTTGGCCATCAGCTGCTCAGAACTCTCCAGCCTGATGGATCCAAAAGAGAGAAATCTCTGCGAACAGACACGGAGGGAAAAGTGGTTTCACCAATGCCTAGCTACTGGGAAGCACTACCCTTTTTTTACCCATTTTGGACACAGCTCTCATTGCCAACATCGTTAACATTAGATGGAGTTTAACACACAGTGTGACTTCCCTTGGTTACACAACATAGATCAGTTGACTGAGTAGGTTGACTAGGTTTACCTCTACTAGTTTGTAATATTCTGAATGCTGACGGGACAACTCAACCAGGGTCTTCTTCAGATAGACATTCTCCTTCCTCAGACTGCTGACAACCATAGCAAGCTTTGATTTCACCATGTTCCGGTGGAAACCCTTATATCTGGAGGATGCCATCTCTTTAACCTGGTCACAAACATTAACACAAAAATACTTTGGCTTAGACTATGGCAGAATAATGTTACAATCTGAAACATAAACATTCTGGGTCCACGTTTACTGATGCTGTTCCTAACGCTAAATAGCTAACTTAATACACATTCACCTGCTCTATTAGCAAACGTTAAGGTCAGATTGGGGTTTAAACCTAAAGAAGATGGATGCTTGATGTTATCAGATAAATCCAACAACACCTACAAAGATAACACCACGTAAGGATAGGTTATATCTATGACCACACATGATTAGTTAGCTAGCTAATGTTAACTTGAATAAAAACAGTGTTGAAGCTGTAGCATTAGCTAGGCTAAATAGTTTAAAGCGCTACTGCTACTATACTGAAATCTGAATTTCCTTCTTCAGAGTAACATGTTAACTTACTTTAAAATAAACCCTTAACGCTATTAACCTTATATACTTATTGTTTCACGAGGTCAATTGTAGTAACGTTCATTCATACGTTGTTATCTTAGCGTTAACGCATGGAGACTGAGTTCCACACGAAAACGTTTGTTTTGAAATAGCAATACTGTATTATCCAATGAGCATCTGATTTGTGATTTAAACATACGCCTGTTTAAATTATTTTTTATATTTTATGTTTATTACGTTTATGTTTATATATGCATGTAGGCTCACCTATTTAAAAAATATATAACAATAACGTTACTGTTGGCATGTTTTATGGCTAAAATCCGAGTTGGCTTGAATTTCCGAGAGCACAAAAATGTGTCATCTTTTACAGTACCACTAGGGGCGCTGCAGTAGAGGAGAAGGAGAAGAAGAGTGGGTCACTCCTGTCGAGTAGGGCCGAGCTCCGAATGCAGCCATAGCCATTTAGTGCGCCCACTGTGTGAATGGGCGCAGCCATAGCTGCCGGTGGCTGTGAGAGGGCGCTAAATTTTGAATGTTGGTTTGTGCGTTGTGGCATATACACATTACAGACCTGTTCCTTTACTCAGCTTTTGCGACAAGTCAGTGTAACCGGCGGGTTGGCCACGCCTACACCGCCTGGTGAGTAATTTGTCGGAATGATCATGGATATAAATAACACCTGGGGAGATGCTGTTGTGATAAGCAATTTCCGTGCTGGTCGCTGCCGTAACGGGTTTGAAGTGACTCTTCCTCCATCGATCTGTGTCCTGCTTTTCCTTTGTTGCATTCGGTTCTTTTTACCATGCTAACTCTAAGAGACGAAGCAGTCCAAGTAACTTCAAAACAGTGCTGATTTATTCAATGAACACAGGTAAAACTTAACATTACACGCTCAGGTATCTTGCACCTCCAACATGCACGCAGGCAGCTGAAAGATCCCGAACCACAACAGGCCTATACATTATATCACTTCGGGCTAACCCCATTCTACAGAGAGAGACACCAAACCGTGACGTCTACCGGTGCCAGCTTTGCATCTGGCCAGAGCAGTAGTCAAAGCATGAAGAAAATCAATGTGATTATGTGGTGTGTAACTAAAAACATTCTAACACGACCTCTAGTGACATTAAACATAAGAAAATATTATGACTATGGCTACAATCATACACGACATAATAATCATCCTGCCTTTTTTAATTCTGACCGGTTCTTTTGACTGAAGGCCCCAAGAAGTAACACTCAGAAAACAGGAATCAGCTTTAAGTAGATTTATTTTCTTCTGGTTAAATGCAGAGTTATTACAGTGCTGGGCTCTGAGAGAGGACAAGTCTCCAAGAGCCCCGATAATCACAAATCATTCACAATTATCTTCTCGTGCTGGGACTGCCCTGTACATGGGTGGTACGTTACACATCAGTATTCTAGAATGTTCATGTAGGCAGTATGTGTGTGTGTATGTTGTTATTTTCTATTTTCAGGCGTTTCTTCCCAACTAAAAATGGACATGCAGTTAGCTGTGTCACTTACTTCCCTGATTCTGTTGTAAAAACCTCTTACTCATGCTTCAGACATGGGTGAATAGTTCAAGCCCATCAGACTTCACGTGTGTAAGATAGCATAAATTAACAGTATCTTATCTATAGTTTCCAAGACAACACTTATCAATGCAATCTACTCTTGCACAATTATCCAAGAAAATAAGAAATACTACAAGTTGACCTGCAGCTGAAAATTATAACTATTATGCATGTATAAGAGCCAGGTTAATACTGATACATGGTGCTGTTAATAAAACACAAACAGTCATAC